AATAAGCATCCCTACTGATTTTGATGATCACATGACTGCAAAAAAAGGGTGCTTATTTTCACGATTTTACGGTATCTATTACCTATAATTATAAATTAAATTATCTTTTAAATAGGATAATCATCACTATATAAACTTAATCTTATTATTAAAAAATAGAAAGTGATAAATTTTTTAAAAGTAAAATAATAATAAAAAAATATAAATAAAATAGGTTAATAGACAATATATATACAGTATTCTAGAAATCTTTAAAATAAATCATATTCATTAAATATTATGAATAATAAAATTTATTAAAATTAGATTTTTTAAATAATGAAAAATCATAAAAACATAATTTTTAGTCTTTAAAAAAAAATCAATTTACTAAAATTTTTTGAGATTTTATATTAATTTAAGAATTGTTCTATTAGTATTATATCAAAATTTTGATTTTATATAATTATTCTTATTTTAATGCATCATTATTTGACTAATACAATTAATAAATATTTTAATTAAATACATTTTACTAGCTAAAGAATTTCAATTATATATATATAAATTAAATATATAAATTGATTAAAAAATGTAAATCATATAAATAGTGTTACTAAAGATAAGCACCATATTAAGAAGTTGCAACTTGGTTGCAACTTCTTGTAAATTTATTTTAATATAAAAATTCATAAATAATTGCAACTAATTAAAAATTTTAAAAATAATTATTGGGAACTATCTTTAAGTGTTGCTGTTTGAAACTAAAATTCTGTAGTTTAGTTAAGTGTAAAAATAGTTTAGTTAATAGCCAAAATTATCAAAACTAGTTTTATTTAGTTTAGAATAGCAATTTAAAGATAAATATAATAAAATAAAGGAATTAAAGATAAAAATAAGATAAAATAAATAAATTTTTAAATAATATAAATAATATTGATAATACTATTAAAAGTTGCTTTATGCTAATATAAAGTAATTAATTAAAAATAAAATTTTTTTTTTTTAAAAAAAAATTAATAAATCTAATTTTAATTATTTTATTGTTTTACTGTAATATTGACCAATTACTTTAAATTGCATACTATGCATAAAATAAGTAAAATTATACAATTTAGTAATATGACGCTTTTAAAAGGTTAAGCAGCATTCTGTAACATTTACATCATAATTTTTATGATTATTGGATTTTACTTGATAATTCGTTTTGATCCGATGATTATCATTTCTATTAGCCAAATGCGTTCATGCAATAACAATAAAAAAATTGTTGACCATATGATTTATGTGGAAGTGGCTCACGTGAAATTACATAAATTAAACTGGATACAATGCAACTCCCTTCACGACCTCTTTTTCGTTTGCAACTTGTCAAACATCCCTTTGAACATTAACTTTTTAAAATGACCACACCAAGTAAACGTAAGTATATTTTTCAACATATGTGTGCAATAAAAGAATAAGTGTTCTAGCTTCGTTAAAAACTTTCTTTTGAAAATACTAGTTTATATTGGACATCTTTCGTCAAGAACAGAAAAACGAGATTTAGAAGAATTGGTAAGCAACTTTTGTTTACATATTTATATTTTGCTGTTCAACTTTTATTCAAAAATTTTTATTTATTTTATTTTATTTTATCTTTTTAATAAAATTTCAGTTCGAACGTTATGGAAAAGTATTAAGCGTGGATGTGAAGCCTATGGGCTATGCATTTGTTGAGTTTGAGGTTAATAATAATGAGTATTAATATGGCTTATGTAGTAGCAGAAAGCTTGGTATGTGTTTGGATTCTCACATTGGTTGCGGTTTGCACGTCGCTAAAACACGTATTACACTACCGGATCCTTAAATTAATAGGATCCGCGTGATGCTGATGATGCAGTAAAACAATTAAATGGCTATGAATTAGATGGTGCTCGCATTGCTGTCGAATGGTCACGTCGATCTGGCGGTCCAGGCAGTGGTTGCTTTTTATGTGGCGGACAAGGTCACTGGGCTAGGGAATGTCCTGATGCTAGGGAAAAAGGCATGGACGTTCGAAGCGGTCGATGCTTTCGATGTGGTGAATTGGGCCATTTGGCGAAATATTGCAGGTAAGATTCAACTTAAATTATCGCAGCAAATCTTATTTTAATACATTATTGATATTTATTTTTGTGAAAATGATCTATTAAATTATTTCAGCGGTAGTGGTGATTACGATCGTAGAGGTCCATCTCCTAAATACGGAAGAGCTCGTTCTCCATACTATAGCGGACGTGGTGGTTCTTATTATGACGACTATGATCGTTATCGACGTTATTCAAAATCTCCACCTTATGGAGGTTCCGGCAGTGGATCTTATAGCGGAAGAAATCGCTCAAGGAGTCCCTACAGTAGACGTAGCCAGAGCCCTTATTACAATGATTATGGAAGAAGAAGTCAGAGTCCATATGGGTATGTTTTAGGACGGTGACATTAAAATGTCACCAGAACTTAAATCATTAAGATTTTATTTTTCCTTTATTTCAATGTTTGTTTTCATTTCTGGAGTTTTTTTTTCTGGACCACTGGAAATGATAAAATGAGTCAACCGGAGATATTCAGGGATTTGTTGTGGTCAAAAGTTGCATGTTTTGGAGGCGTCGAGGCTTTTTTATTTGGAAATGGACAAGGAGACTTACATTTGTAGCTGACAATTTTTTTTGCTCTTTTGGTGTTTCGACACTGGATAAATCTTTTCTGGATCAACTTTTCTTAGGCATGGAAGAAAATATTAAGCATCAGCTAAACTTTATCAAAGGATGCGTATCTCACAGACTTATTGAATACATTATGGAATCTTTTTCAAGCAATTTTCTGGATCTGGACCACGAACGGAATCGACCCTTTTTTAACTCTCTTAATTCGGGACTCGGTTACTATAACGGACTACATAAATATTGACATCTTCATTAAACAGGAAACTTAGTATCGACTTTTATTTTATCTTAGAGTTTATTCATATGACCTTTTATTTCAGTATGTTTTGATATGTATAAATGCGAAGAGCTGATATTTTAAATATAATGCGTCAACATAATATACTTTTATAAAAAAATTTCTATTTTTTTTTTTTTGATAATTATTAATGTAACGTTTGTTTTTTTTTTTTTTTGATTCATATGCGGTAAGCCCACACAAACTTTATTTGCTACAAGAAAATTGTACATAGTTGCAAAAATAACAATAATTTTCGCAATATCTAAGCTAAATGTCGTGTGATTATTATAAAAATATATATAAATATGATTATCGTTGCTCCTTGTTATAAAATAATTTAATTCAAAATTGTTAATGTCGTTTCTATATATAATAATTAAGTCAAAACATATTTTGGCCCATTTCCACCTTCAGGTGTTACCCAATCAATATTCTGTGATACATCCTTGATATCACAGGTTTTACAATGTACACAGTTTTGTGAATTAATTTGTAATCGTTTTTCGTTTGGATTATTTTCGTCATCAACAAATTCATACACACCAGCTTTCACGTGTAAAAAGAATTAATCAAATTAATAATGGAAATATATTATATAATAAATGGAAAGAATATCGAATTATACCTGGACAAAATCTTCCTTCAGGCCCATCATAAATTTTCAAATTGACATCAACAGGCAACTTTTTATCTCGAACACGTAAATGCACAGGTTGATTCTCTGTATGGGTTGTTCCACTTCGAGAAACACTCTCAAGCAGATCGAACGTTATAACGCCGTCAGGTTTAGGATATTCTATTGGTTTACATTCTCTATTGAAAAGAATGTATTAATGCCACGTGTTCATTAAAGTAAAAGAGAATCAATATTTACGTCGGATAATTACTTGGCTGGTTTTAACGAGGAATGATCTGGATGATGGTGTTTAAATGTCCATGGAGTTCTTCCTTTCAAAAATAACATATCCATACCAGAATATAAGATAAATCCGTATACTCCAAGAGGTGAATTCATTGAAGGTCTAATATTTCTCACATCATACAATTCTTTGTATACCCATGAATTTTGAATTGATTCTTCATAGGCAGTGAGTGTAATAGGACCGGATGATGATTCAGATGTTATGGCGTCATACGCAGCTTCAGCAGCAAGCATCCCGGATTTCATTGCATTGTGCGTCCCTTTTATTTTAGGAAGATTTAAAAATCCGGCAGTACAACCAATAAGAGCACCTCCAGGGAAAACTAATTTGGGAATTGACTAAAAGGTATATAATGTGAAGTAATCATTAGTCATTTGGAAAAAATTTAATAGGTGTAGGCTTACGCAAATTTACATCACCTACACAAACCTTCGTAAAACTTGCGTAACGTTACTAAGTGTAGGTACTGTAAACTTACGCAACCTTATGCGTAAACTAACGCTTAAAAAAATTTCCTGCTGTATACAAAAATTATACCTGATATCCACCCTCATTTAAAGCTCTTGCTCCATAAGATATAACCTTTCCACCTTCAAGATGTTTCCTGATAGATGGATGAGATTTATATCTCTAAAAAAATACAAAATGAAAATATAAAAATTATGTTCATTGACTTATTTGAAAAAGAAAAAAAATGCCAGTGACAATGCTGATCACAATACACAATGCATACTTGAAATTCCTTGTATGGATGCAAATAAGTGTTTTGATAGTCCAAAGCAATTATGAAACCTAATTGCACTATATTATTTTCCATATGATACATGAATCCTCCGCCGTAGGTTTTATAGTCAAGGGGCCATCCTGTTGCGTGTAAGCAGTAACCTGGAATATGCTTTGCAGGATCGATTTCCCAAACTTCCTTAATTCCAATTGCATAAGTTTGTTGTTGTCTACCCTCACGAAGGTTAAATTTTCTCATCAAGGTTTTAGTAAGAGACCCATGACAACCTTCAGCGAATAGAGTGATTTTGGCCTGAAATTCCATACCACGTTCAAAATTTTCTTTCGGTTTAAAGTCTTTATCAAGACCCATATCATTTGTGGCAATGCCACGCACACTACCATCCTCATTATATAAAACCTATTTAATCAAATAAAAATAAAAAATCAAATATAGTCGATAAATTTAAAGAAATGCTTTTAAAAATAATCATCTAACCTCACTTGCAGAAAACCCCGAATAAACTTCTACTCCAACTTCTTCAGCCTGTTCACCTAGCCATTTTACATAATTGTTCAAGCTAACGATATAATTGCCTTTATTCTTCATCAATGATGGGAGAGGAAAAAGAGGAATGGACAACTTTTCTGTGAAAAATCTCATTTCGTCTTTAAGTACTGGTTGATTTAATGGTGCCCCTCGTTCTTTCCAATCAGGTAGAAGTTCATTTAATGCTCTAGGCTCAATAACTGCACCGGAAACAGTATGAGCACCTATAACAAGAATTTAGTATTATAAAATGCGACTCAAAATAAAGATCATTTTCTATTTTAAGAATCTTATACCGAGTTCACTAGCTTTTTCAATAACTACTACTCTAACTTCTTTTCCTTCTGCATTTGCCAATTGTTTTAAGCGAATTGCGGCTGATAATCCTGATGGACCAGCACCAACTATAACGACGTCAGTCTCGTCAATAAAACGCTCTACAGTAAGACGAGGATCGACTTCTTGATTTGTGACCGACGCATAGCTTCGAGAAGAGGCGGTTAAAAAACTTTTATATGAACCAAGTGGTTGCTTAAGACCGGCTTGGTATGAAATTTTATGTAAAAGAGGTGTTTTATATGACAAAACTCTTGCTCGAAATCGGAGCGCCGAAAGAACGTTACGGCCATTTATTTTAGGTGAACGCCGAAAAATCATGACCAATTTTGTTGAAATTCCGTAGAAAAAAAGGAAAGGTTGATGAAATATCTCATTATCACATCTAGAACATCTAGTGTAAAAGTACCTAGAATTTGATTGGTCAAATCCATCTAAAGTACAAAGGCTCATTACGCTTGTGCTCCGGGTTTCCCCAACTAACGACTAACCCTAAATAACAACTTTCTTTTTTAAAATATCAGAAATTGGATGATGTAACAGAATTAGTAAAACACAAGTTTGATGTCAATGGAAGAAGAATCCATTATAGAACTTAATAATTCTAATAATGACAAATCTAATGAAGATAGGTTTATTGAGGAGGAAAATCCTTTGGCTCTCATCGCAAGTGATATTTTTAGTTCAGGACAGCAGCTTTTATTAATTGGTCAAAGTAGAGTTAAACGTAAGCATAAACGTAAAAATACTTATGAAAAAAGGTCAAAACGAACAAAAGACGACGAATTCAATAGGGAAGAAAATATGGTTGGTACGATTAAAACTGCGTCAATTCTAGCAAAAGTACGTTATCGTTAAATTTAGTTATCAGTTTCTTTTAAAAATTACGTTTTTAATTCGGTTTTATTTTATTTGATATAGTCAGCCAGTGTCAAATTAACAAATATTAAACCAAATTATTTTTTATCTGTTCGACTGGATTCACACATTATACAAAAGAATTTTCGAATTATGTAACTAAAAAATTCCCGGAATATAAAAAATTACTTATAAATCCTCAACAGGTAACAATTCCTTTTAATTACTTTTTGAACTTTACTACTTTTTTGCTTATAAATTTCCTTGAATCGTTTAGATACATATAACGCTCTTTGTACTACATCTAGGAAACGATGATAATATTGAAAATGCAAAGAATTGTCTATTAAATAGTAAAGAAGTTGGTATTCCTTTAGTTGTTCACGATATATGATTTTAAAATAACAAATTTTATCACATAATTTTGATCCTAGTAGATTATGAATGAATCTTGCCCAAATGACAAGTTATCCCTACATTTTCAAGGAATCGGTATTACATTCATCCTTACGTGTTCATTTTAGCTTTATTTGATTGTATATGATTGATTTTTGATTACAATTAAAACAGACATATTTGATCGAGGTCGCGTAGTCTACACGATACCAAAGAATAGCGACGATTTGCTATCATTTACGAAATTAACTTATGCTCTTCATGAAAGATTTCAACAAGAAGGTCTTGTGGATAATGATATAAAAAAAGAATTTATCCCTCACGCGACACTTATGAAGTTAAGAAAAAGGATGATAATTAAACACAAAGATGAGGAAAAAAAAGTTGTCAATCGCATTCCACCTGAGATTTACGATCATTTTAGTGGTAAAGATTTAAATTTTTCGATTTCTTATTATTTTGATAAGTATATTGAATTTTAAATTTGCATTTAATAATAGACTTTGATTTCGGAACACATTGTATTAAAGGCGTGGAATTGTCTTCAATGCTTTTGCCCAAAGACGATGATGGATATTACATGAGATTGGAAAATATAGAATTTTAAGATATTTCCGAAATTTTTAGTTCCAATAGTCATAAAATATTTGTAACTTTTTTGTTTGTGAAATTGATGAAATTTATAAAAGCTTTTTATTTCAAGACATACTACATAAATTTAAATTCAGGCTATCATTGATTTAATATTTGATTTAAATTTTGAACAATCTTTTTATAATTTTAACTATTGTTACCCGAAAAATAGGACGTTTATTTTTAGGTAAGAGGTTGAGTTCGTTATGTTATAAATTCTTAGTTGATT